GAAAAATCAAAAATAAAGCGGACACGTCCCCGCTTATAAAAGAAGAAAATAAACAGCTACGCCTTACCCAAGAGCCTCATGGCTTCCCTATTCGAGGATCACTCAAGCAAGGCCTTAGTGTTGATCAACCTATTGATCAAGAGATACTCCCCCTCCTCGTCAAACAACAGGGCGCCATTCACGTCCACGTATTTCGCGGGGGAGAACCCTTTAACATGCGCGGATAGATTCTCGTACGAAAGTTGATCCTGGGCATCCAAATCCTCGGGTCTCACCACATAGTATTCGGGCCTCTGCTCGTAATGTCTCCACTGCCATTCAAGCGGGAAACGGGCCATAAGTCGGGTAACTGGCCGCCCGTCCTCCACCTCTTCCACCCGGGCATAGAGAGAATCTATGGTTGCGTCCGTCAAGGGTTTCACGACGAAGTACCTCTCCTTGAAATTCTGCACGGACTCCAGATACGGCCGGAAGAGTTTCCCGAACTGCTTAAAAGAGACCCACGCCTGTCTCCCGTGGATAGATTGTCTCTGCAAGTGAAAGATGCGGAAGAAAAGGGGCAGCGTGGCGCCTATCCCCAAATATTGGCAGACGAGCTCGAACGCCCGCATGAACGGCAACGCGTTTGGATGAAGTTGAGAAGGTGCCGGCTGGAGCCATTGGAAAACCCCGACCTGGAAATCATTAAAAGGCAGGCGCATCCCCGCCTCCTTGAAAGCAAACTCATACATTGGGAACTGTTTTCCCTAATACGCCGAGCATATCCTTCGGTCCCCATGAGGTATTTGAAGCATCCAGTTGGTCGGAGCCCCTTCTGCGCGTTCTTCCGGGCAGTTAAACGCGTCTGTTGCATCCCGCGAGAAACACGATCTTTTGTCCTGGGGCTCTGGAAACCCAAGCCAAAGGATCCTCCTCGTCGCTATGGGGTTCGTCATCGTGATGGGTGTCTGAAATATCGTTCCCTCGGCAGCGTGCCATTGTACCTGAAAAGCAGGAGAAGTTAGTGAATTCGACATTATTAAATCCACCCTTCCACCGCATATCAAGTGAAAGGGCGACGAACTCAACCTAAGCCCTCGACATACTAAAGCGGACCATTACAGTCAGAGGACATGACGTCAGGGAATAGTTCATCGAGCACGAGCCTGGATACGTACTAACCTAAGGATCCCCCGACACCATAACGCAAAAGTTCATAGGTGCCCGACACATTCATGAGTGCTGGACACCAAATACATGAACCTAGATGAATATTCGTGAATAGCCATGAAGCTTATGAATATTTATTAATAGGTGTCCGACATCTTCATGAGTGCACGACACAAAACCCATAAATACAGATGAACATTCATGAACATTCATCACAAAACTCATGGATATTCATCCAATCAAGACAAATTTTTGACATTTAATCCAAATAAGCCCAAGAAACGTGGTATTGAGAGGTTATAACTTACTTGGATGAAGAAAGTTGAGGAAAAAACTGGAAAGTTGAGAGGGTCGCCTCACACCACAAGCGAAGAAAAACTGAGAGCTTTGAGAGAACCGCTTCACACCGCGAGCAAATGAAGGATTGAAAAGGAGTTGAGAAGATGACAAATGAATCCTAAGGGCCCCCTTTTTATAGGCGACCCACGCCCCAAGGGATCCCACATGAAGGGTCATCATCTCATTGGCCCCTTTTGCTTTTTTCTTAAGGGGAGGCACCCCAAAACGCTAGCCACCTGGCTCAACCATCAAACATGAAATCCTCTGGACTGACGAGCAAGCGTCCGACTCCTACGAGGACATGACGTAGGGGGTTGACACTTACATGGGGAGGTGCTCGGCACTAGAGCGCGCAAAGGGGCACATTCCCTTGACCATCTCGAAGACGAGGAAATGCTCGACAAACAAACAGCTCCCAGGAGGCGGATGAACCCTCTTGAGCACAATAACTTGGGAGGGGGCTCCTCACCGCCAATATGCCCTTTCGAGCAGGCGGATGAACCTTCCGACCCTGATCCCCATCCGTCCATGGTATTCCCCGACATATTTGTGCTTGCCCCCCGCGGTCAACGATCCGCTCCCTTCGGGACTTCGACCCTCTATCCCGACCATGCCTTCGATAACAAGAACTGCACTCAAGTCATCACCCTCTAACTCGAGGACAATAACTTGGGGGGCTCCTGATCTGGACTGGGCCCACATTTGCCCTACGAAAAGAAGGCCCAAACGGTCCAAGTTAGAGATTGCGGGGCACCTCCCCATCTAACCGTTGGGGGACGTGGCCCACCACTTCTCAACGGACATATCAAACTGCCTACCGAGAATTTCGGGTCCAACCCTATTCTCGCGGAGTGGTTGACCAGGGGGGAGTCCACTTGCTGGACTCCATACTCACGTAAATCTTGGCAGTTCCCGTTATTGGGCATCTGCGTGGCCCAATAGTGGGAACCTTGACCCAGCGTTGAGGGTTATAAATACCCTCTCTCATGAAAAGGTCAGGTATTCATTAATTCAAACCTACATACATACTTGCTTGCTCATTCCTCTCTCACTTTGCCATCGAAGTGTCTTGCAGGTACCTCTGTCTCCTTCAAATCCAGCCTGAAGCCAGCTGTGACAGTCCAACTCTGATTAGGTACGATCAAGATTATTTTTACTAAATGAGAGATCGACGTTTGAGACATTTAAGATTTTAAAGTAAAAATAAAAAATTTGTGTTATAAACTAAATAATATAATATAATATTTAATACAAATAAAAAAATTATTACCGACAGTAATACTTATTACACTACATGAACAAAACTAATAAATAAACATGCAATATTTTATTATATTAGATGAATAGTTTAGTAATAGGAAATATAATAGAAGTAGAATTATTATCTAATATGTGGATTCTATTGACAATTACTCGAATGTCTTATGGTTGGATAGTGGACAATCCTTTAATGATTATAATGCTTGTTTTGTAAAATTTAAACAGTAAAATTCAACAAAAACAGCGAAAATATATTATAGTCTTTTAATACAACATGCAACAAATGAGATTTTGGTTGATAAGATAAAGTCTCATGATCTTTTCTTAATCAAAAATCTATTTTGTTTGGATAAATCCGATCTTGTTAAATTGAAAGAAAATATTTATTCTTGTTCATACCTAACTTATTCAAAGGAGAAAAAAATTATTAAATAGAGAGAATAATTGTTGAAAATCATACATTATTTTAATTAAAAATTGATGATTAATATTTTTATTATCTTTTAATATAATATTTTAAGTTTCTTAACATGGGTACATATTAGTATTATCTTAATATAATTTCTCTGTCAATGGATATGTGAGATTCCAATAAAATTGAACTCTGAATTACCATAGAATTATTTCTTAAAATGTCAAAGAAGTTGTATCCTCCCTCAAAAATTCGAGTCGTGGATTACATTATAATAATATGTCGGACTTATCAATATAAGTCTACGATCTACCCTATATTAGACCCAATTTTTTTTTTAATAGAGGAGGTTTAGATTTAAGTTGTTAATTTATTAAGAAAAAAACTTAGATATATTTCTTTTTGACGTGGTTTATGTCTTTTTGTAATATAAATATAATAGATATATAATTTCTTTTTAGAGATATGTAATTTCTTTCCATTTTTACTATTTAAAAAATATTTAAATATATTTATCATGTTTTTATTAGATAAAAGTATAAACTACATTTATAAAATTATATTTAAGTATTTTCCATTTATTAACTCATTAATCTATTTAAAGATATATCAAATTATTTATTTAAATAAATTTGTATTAAAGAATTTTTAAATAGATTAACAAATCACATCAAAATTTCAAAAATGACTGAATTCGACCTTAAAACTAAGACTAAATTAGATTACATGTCAAGACCTAAATTTTTTTTATCAAGTCACACTGATTCAGTTTATTCTCACACTTAAACAAAGAATTTATTAGTGCACCCAATGAAGTACTGGTGCACCTCACAAAATTCTGAAAATGTATTTCATAAATGTATTTTCGAATGCATCCATAAATACACAAAATACATGCGTAAATGAATCACACTTTCGTTTAATAAAAAAAACTTTGTCCAGAAATATATTTTCAAAAATTAGTGTTTTTGAAACTACACAAGGCCTGCATGTTAAAGGCAGTGGAAATGATAAAGTTTAACAGTAACTTTGACAACAGATTTTTCGAAATAGATTTCCTAATTCCATAAATTTATTTCTACACCTTTTTTTTTACTAAATGCAAGTGCGGTTCACTTATACATGCATTTGAGGTACGTACAGAAATATATTTCCGAGATCAAAGACATTTTTAAATTTTCACAAGGTACCTTTCAACTCTTTAGGTGTATTTAGAAATTTTCTACAAGAAATTCTTAATTATAGTACTGAGTTGTAAAGGGCTTTTATTCTTCACCCTCACCCTACACAAAACTTGAATTAAATCATTAAGAATAAGGATGACAAAATAAGTTAGCTCACAAGTCATCTTGTTTAACCTCTTCTTTTCTTGTGGGGGTGAGTTGAACTTTGAAGTACAATAACATTAGCCTCATCTAACTATGTTACTAAACATATGCTTAGCATGTCCCCCCTAACTCGCTGAGATTTTAAGATGGCTTAATTAAATAAAAAACTCTTAAAAAAAGCTTAGGATAGTTATCTTTCTTTTTGTGCTTGTAGGTCTTTATCATCACATTCAATTGTGAAAATCTGGCACCAATGGGCAGAAAATAGATAACCAACGAATTCCACGCATAGTCTGATTCCTTGGAAATCAAGCAATGAACTCCAAACTGAAATTATACATCTGCAGGATCCAAAACCCCCCAAGGAATGTTGTTATTTATAACATAATAATGACATGAAGATAAAATTTTAACACCGATGATTGAAAATAGTTCACTCTACTCCTAATACATTCGCCATTAATATATCATATCAAAAAGATCATTCCTCTGTCTCGTTCGCATGGCCAACCCTACTCAACCACGGCCAGCAAGTCACTTGATTTACAAAAGCAGTGCTTCGCTTCAGTCCCCAAATCCACCTGAAAAACAGTTACACCAACTTATATTCATTATTGATGAAAAATTGCATCTAAACTTAATGCTACAACTTAAAATACACCTAGATATAAAACATCTATACATAAGAGCAAATATTTTGATCCAACTTACCTCATAAGCACTCATATCAGTGAATAGTACCTGCAAAAGAATAATTATAATTTTAGTCTAAATTTGAAATGAAATACAGCAAATCGATTGATTAAAAAACCAATAAATTTTTTCCTTTATTTCGTTATTTGAACAAAAAGTCATACCATGTTTCCCTGCACACCACTAAACTACCCTCATGACATGCAAAGAAGTGAATTTCTAACTTCCTCCGGTTTATCAAATTAAGACACATTCAACAAAAGCAGAATAGACTTCACGGCCATTTGACTAATGAGCAAATGTGATATAAGCGTAAACACAATGTGGTTTTTAGAAATTCTACTTCTTTTGTTTAGTCCCTGAAAGTTTTTGTCAACACATCGTAGTCCCCTAAGGGATGAGCTTATGAGCAAGTTCATCACTTGGGATTATGAGGCACGGACACAGGAAACACGACACCGGCACTAGCACCTTGACACCAGTAATAATTTGAAAAAATGAATAAATTAACCGTAATCCCAAGTGTTGGTGTTCGTTTTGGACACGGACACACATTTTTTCAGAGGTGTCGGTGCTATAGAGCTTGGGAAAGGTGAACTCATGACTCACGAACAAGTTAACTACTACAGAGACCAGATAGATACCGTACAAATATTATAACCAAACATAACCTCAAATTAGCACAAATTTGAAACAAATATGGCAAACTGAGAATCTGGAGACATTTTATCAAATTTTCAGGAACTATCTCATATCAATGAAATTTGTGCAATCTTGTATTATATTTTAAGTCACAAGTTTAGGTTGCTTTCCATGGTTGATTAAGTGTCCCTTGAGAATCTGAGTTACCTATACAAAGCATACTATTGATCTCGAGATCGTTGGTTTACTATTAAAATAAAAGTATGGAGAATTTTTAGATTACTCTTTTCATGTTTTCCATTTCTGCTTCACCTATTTCACAGAAACTAAACAACATACCTTTGCTCCAGCCTTTACATTTTCAGCCTCAGCACCAACACTTAGGACCTGAAACAAATATTCAAAATCACCAAATAGTAAAATACACAATAAGTTGTTAAAAAATAACAAATCTTCAGATCTAAAACACCATAAGGCACAGTATGTAATATGTATACTTACTTCCCCAGTAAGATATTGTTCAAATTTAACAGCTGACCCAGGCAACAAAATTCCACCAGTGGTTGTCTGCCACAAAAAAAATTACATTCGCAAATCAGCTATGCAATCATGCACTATCCAATTTATAATTGTCCATTGCACAATATCTTATTCAGATGTTATAACAAAATCAAACTAAACGTAACAAACAAATGAAGCCACCATCAAGTTAAATCACCAGTAAAGCATAGATAACAATAAGTCGTCTGTGTATATGTAAGAAGTTCAAAAACAAGATTCCTAGTCTATAATATATATACCTTCTTACAAATATGTAATTCAAGAAACACATCATGATGCAGTTAAATCGCAATTATCTCGCTAACAATGGAACAAGGGTGTTTCTGTTTTCATTTGGCAAATCAAAAAACCAAGTAGGCAACATTGAATGAGGGTATATTAGATTTCATGTTTTATAATTTGCTTCACTGCAAACCAGGGACACACTTGACGATAAATCGGTAAGCCAAGCCTACATCTTGATTTTTTCTTTTGGTTGCAATAAAATTTGGCACACCAAGAACTTCAAAATCACGACATAGCACATAAATCATACACCAGGTTAGATAAACAAAGATGCCCCAACAACAAATCCAACATTCAGCCTATAGTTTGAACTTGTCCTAGTAATCATTTCAAAACTGCAGAGACCAAACATTGGAACAAAAACAACACTATCAAATGAAAGAATAATTAAGCTCTATAGTCTACTCTTCATAGTTCGTTCATGCACACTAAGTTTATGTGTGGTTCAGCGGTGAAAAAAATTGATTTGGAGTTAATTGATTCTATAAAATTGATTCCGGTTAAAAGTGAGTTGAATGTAAAGTGATTTATGTTTGGATAACTTAATCTAAAATTGAGTTGAACAATAAATTTCAACATAAAATCACATTTAAACTCAAAAGCTACAAATCTTTGCTTCAATTTTTTGAGGCAGAATCAATTCTATTTTAGAAGAACCAAACACCTCAAAATCATTCCAAAATCAATTCTATACCTCTAGAATTGCTTTTGACTCTTCCAAAAACTAAACCAAACAAACGAATAAACAATATCCCAAATTATTATAAAAACATTTTTAAAAAATGGATAAGTCTGTAGCATACTCGTGATGGCTCCTGGAGACGAATAAGAACCCTATCAGCCTGAGGCACGACCTGAAATACAAAAAATCATCAAAATTCAGATGCAAATAAAAAAAAATTGAACTTTCAAAAACCCAAAAACTGGAAAATAAAAGGAGAATTAAAAAAAAAAAAAACCTTAGTTGGTTCCCATTGCTTGGAAATTGCGTTAATCTTGAAAGAGTCCCTCTTGAAAACTGAAAGATACCCAGATGAGAAAAGGTTAAAACTTTGTGTAAAATGAAGAAAAGGGTGAACAAAAATATGAAGAAAAAAAAAGTAGAAGAACAATACGTGGGAGTTTCGGGTAGGAGAAAGAAGCGGCGGTTGATTTGTGAAGGAAAGGAGTTGGTAAGGTGAGAAATGTGGAAGCCATTGAAATGGATAAGAGAGGTAAACACAGAAGAGTGGATTGAAGAGTTAAACCCTTGTTAGGTTTATTATCCACAAATTCACAAGTTACAAAATGTCAAAGAGTGAAGACAAAGAGAGAGAAATGCTACTAATAACTTTTTTTTTTTCTTCTTGTATATTTTGCAAAATGGCTTTGGTCAGAATTTCCACGCAGTCAAGATATATTTGGCCATTAGATCTTGATCAGACAGTATAGAACAAACAAATTTAAATTTTATATAATAATTAAAAAAAGTTTGTCTTGAATCACAACCATCAGATCTTAATCGGACTATTTAAAACGTGTGATTGTGTAGCCGTAGGATATTGATGACTGCAGGGAAACGCAATTTTATATTTTGTTATAATATTATAATAACTAATAACAAATCCGTGCCATTCGCACAAATTCAAATATGAAACGCGTAATATATAAAATGAAATGCGCACAAATTCAAATATGAAACGCGTAATATATAAAATGAAATGCGTTTTAATTTGAAGATTAGAAATAATTTTTAAAAGGATTTGTTATTAAGAGATTACAGAATATTTAAATAGTTTTAAAAAAATATAAAAATAAAAATGAAACATTAAAAATAGTTATTAAAAATGATAAATGAATATTTTAAGTAATAATAATTGTATTGTGAAAATATGAAAGAAAGAAAAAACGTGTTAGAATAGTTATTAAAAATGAAAAAATATATATATAATGATGTAATAAATAAATAAATGAAAATATGGAGGAGATTACAGTAAAAAAAAATTAATGTGCATCGGAAAATTTAATTAAAAGAATGTTGGATTGTATGAGTCTAATTTATTTGGGTTAGGAAAAAGTTGGAATCCACTAGTCTAAGTTGAAAGACGCGTATAAGGTGGAAATAGAAATGTTTTAGAAGATAATATAATTTTGATATCCAAGAACAGGAATCGCAAGTCTCAGCTTCCATTTGAAAATGAAAAACAAAGGTATAGTAAGGGGACATCAAATGTTAGATTCATGAAATTTGACATTTTGCATGTTTATTTCGTTCAATTGTTATGATAGATTTTCCTCACCGGAATTGATTTTGAATTGTTATTTGTCAGAGCGTTGAAAGAGTTACCTCCAGATATGCAATAGACAATACCTAGCAGAGTATGTTTGTTACGGTGGCATTAGAAAAGACCTGATTCAAAGCAGATTGGAAACAAAATTGGGAAACTGCCATATCTCAGGGTTTGAAGTCCAAAGTAAGGAAGCGACTATTAGTGCAGACACAAAGGAAAAATGAAAGATAGTGATTCATTGTGAAGATGTAAATTGGGTTACTCAGGATGATAGTGTGGGTCAAGCATTGGAAGATGGCAAGAGGTAAGAAACATTTTGTAAAGAATATAAAAGTTGTTTTCATTGATGCAGGTAGTAGGGACGATAATTTAGGATGAACATGTTAGTTCTCTATTATTTGGATTAACATTATGTTTGGTAAAACTAATATAGCAGCAATAAGTTAAATAGGATTTGTAACTTGTAAGAGAAAGCAGGTTGAAGTTCTATTTGATGAAGAAACATGTTGAGATGAGATGTCTCATCATCTGGAGCAACATGTCGAAAAAGATATCCTATTCAGGTTGATACGACATCGTGACTGGTACAACTGGATTAAATGTTTCTGTTATGATTTAACATATACAAAATATTCTTGGAATATTATGCAATCATTTGTGGAGATGTCTTATTAGGTCTGGAAGATTCGAGTCAGAATTAGGAAGAATATTAACTTTCTAATTATGGAGATTAATTAGGAAGATTTAGACGAAGACCTATTTTGTAGCAGAATCTTCTGTAGATTTGTAACAACATATTTGTTGTGATTAGAAGCCCAAATCCAGTTGGGTACTAGGATTAATGACCGGCCATGAATTATTAAGATGTAGTCGCTAGGGTTGAGTCTGTAGCCACTCTCTAAGAGAGTTTGTGCAGGTGAACCAGTCGGATTGTGAGATGGTCACTTTATTCTCCTCAAAGCTGTGAAGCAAGAGTGAATATTGTTCTTGGAGGAAGCTTTTAAGAAAATCCAAGTTGGTGTTCTTAATTAAGAGTCTTGGCTAAGTTTAGGGGGAAGTGTGTCTTCCTGCTCGTCATAGAAGTGGGTATTCTCATTATAAAAGTGTGTGTTCTTGTTTTTCTAAGTGTCTTAGAATTGTCCAATCGCTGTCTGTGATTGATGAGGGATTGAGGAATGACTCATATCTAGGTGAGTCTTAGATAGAAATCTAGCAAGGGTAGTGATTAAGTTATTAGACTGTAAACTGGTATGTTTATTGTATGGTATATGAATTTATACTACTATTAGTGGATTTGTCCCTAGCTTGGTATGCCCCCAAAGTAGGAAGGTTGTTCCGAACTGGGTTAACAATTTTGTGTGCACTTTACTTTTCAGTATCTGTTTTTAACTATTTATTCCTTGTCATGTTGTTTGTAACAGACCAGATGTATTGACATCTTATAGGACATATGATTCTGTTATACCAAAATTTCAATTGGTATCAGAGCAGACATTATGTTCTGACTCTGGATGAGATCCTGGGAAAATACTTTTTGGTCATGTGCAAGGTAGGAGGTTATACTGAAAAGTTGTTTGAACCTGGTCAGTTCATACTTGTACAAATGGTCCCTTGAAGTGGAGGATGGACTATTTGTGATAGCGTGCATGGTGACCCTGTTTTGAAGTTGTTAAATGAGCCGCCTTGGTGGTGAACTGCTATGAGGTTTGATTTAGTTTCAAACTTATGTTGTGCCTGAAGCTTGGTTTAGGAGTTTCTCATTTATTCTGCTACATCTGGTGGAAAACTCTTGGTGGTTGTGTGTGCTTCCTCTCTGAAGGTGTATCCTATGATGTTGTGATACGTGGAGGATAGTCTTGACCAACTTATTAAAGTTTCCAAAGATACTCAAGGATTGTCTCAAGTCCACTCATAAAGGAACTTTTGAATAAGTTCATTGATAGGAGATTCGAAGGAAGCAAATTATTTTTGCTTTCTTCTCTAAAATGCCAACCATAGGTCTTTGATGAAGAGTATCTTGGATGATGTTCTACATGATGTTGGAACATCTCGTCAGTAGATTATGCAAAATTTTGCTGGTGAAAGGAATGGTGTAGCAGATGCTTTGGGGATGACAAATGTGTGTTGATCACATATGTTTGGAACCTACTCCTGATCTGGAAGAGGAGACATCTATGTCTAAGAGAAAGATCTACAACTTTCATGTTGGAGTCAAAAGCTGATTCGGCCTGTATAAGTTCCAGTAATTCGTTGAAGTTTCAGACGTTAGAAAATAATCTGTTTCGGGTCGTTTTATGGGCCGGGTTTATGTTTCTGACCCAATTTGACTTAGTAGTGAAAAACCCTATTTTATTTATAAGGTTTTCAGCCGTACTACAGTAGAAAGAAAAACCCCTTTATTTTCACGATAGAAGTTTTGCTTTGTACGAATTTTATGGAGAGCTAAATTTCCTCTGAGTTGATCTGCTACATTCATGTTCTGATACTTGAGGTTAATATGATTTTGCAATTTAATTCCTATTCCTTTCAACTCTATTATATGTTCATCGTTTTCTTAATCCGATTGTCATAAAATAGTTTTATTTGGTTCGATTGATTTATGTTCCCTAATTTTCATTGCATGTTATCGTTTGCTTAATTCGTTAATTCGCTTATTTTTAACCGTTTGCTTAATTCGGTAAACAGGAAACATAATTCTTATAATATCATTCTCGCTTGTTGAATGTTATTGTGATCGAACAGGAATAGTGCCTGCTTAGGGCATCGATGTTATAATAGTCAATGATAGGTGGGAACTGAAATAGCAGATTAGCTTATTTTGATAATCACTTATTTCGTGTTATAAATTGATCCTAAAACCAATCCCCTATTCGATTTCTATTAGTTAATAACAAAATCAAGAATCCTTGCGATACGACTCGAGCCATTGTCGCTATACTGCATTTTAAAATAAACCGTTTTTGATCCGCCCATGACAGCGGATCAATGTCAAGACATAACTCAAGACATGTTTTTCCTTGAGACCAGCATGGATCAATTTTGAACGGTATTATCCTAATCATGTCAAGAGTCCTACCCATCGAGTTTTTTTGTCTTTTCTACTCTTTTCCTTTTCCTTTGGAGATAGTATTATCCATACCATTAGTTGGTAGGTAATCTTATCTATTGGATGTGAAGGGACATGCGTAGGGTTATTGTATGGTCATTGAAGGCAATATGTAAGGGTACTTTAGCAATTCAAATGGACTATCATCATATTATTCGTAGGGTCATTGAGGGACTAGATCATATTTTTGTAGGCAACTCGAGGGACATCGAGTGACTATGATCTTTTGTATCGTAGCGACTATGATGATTGTATCGAGGGTCTTTTTCTAAAGCAATCTTACTTTTGAGGGACATGACCAATATTCATAAGTCAACAAGAGAGGTTACCCTAAACGTGCAAGTGTAGTTGTGTGTTAATTCAGTTATTTAGTCTTGAGAATTAGGTTTTCTATGTCCAATTGTTAGTCTTTCCATGCAAACCCTAATTACTAACAGTTAAAAATATAATGCGCGGAATTTAAAGTGTGGAAAATTAAACCTAAGCTATTACATGCTGTGAGCAGTTACATAATAGGAAAAAAATTACGAAAAGATAAATATAAGCTATTACATCGATAGTTGCAACCTATACAATTGTCTCAAAATTTAAATAACAATAATAAATAAGAAAATATGTTAGAAAATTTTTTAATGTTTTTTTTAGAAAATGATCTAGGGTTAGGGATGATAATTAAATCCTAATAGCTAATTAAATAAGTTAATTAAAAAAACCTAAAACCCTAATTAGAAATTGTTCTAGACTGGGCCCGCCTTGGCCCAAAGCACAATTAAAGGCCCAAATCCAAATAGCTCCTCGAGGAATGCTCACAAACGGTCCAT